AGAGATGTAATCAAGACGAGGAGTCAGACAGGATCCTTTTTAAAGGCTGGCCAGAAAACAGGGCCACCCCACCCTATCCGTCCCCAGCAGGAAGACTGGAAGACCGAGACACGTGGCCTAAATTAAGGCTGTTGAGAGTCAGTCATAACATCTACACTTCCTCTGCAATTTTCAAATTCTCAAGAAAGTTATTTTGCTCGCCTGTTTTATCCTTACTGAGGCTTTCCTCAGCCTCGTCATGAGATCAAAATAGCTTCTTTGCTTCTCAGGATCGATTCAGAGCCAGATCCATTTGTACGCTGACTCTTTAATCTCAGAATACAATATTTGAATGACATATCTATCGTTTTGCATTGTTTCCAACAGAAAATTCCCTTGAGAAATTTATAAACAGGCAACAATATATTTCCCCTGTTTATCCTCAACTCCGTTTTCTAAATATGACTGCTTCAGCACGTGGAAGTTCTACGCAGCTATTCCAAGCAATACGAGAGGCTTCCATGAGAGAGAAGCTCAGGGTAAGTGGAATTAAAGGAAAGCACTTTAGGCACCAGGCTAGGTGTGACTTATAGTTCCCACGCTTTTTGGAAGCTTTAGCTGTCTCTTTATTGATGTATATTTTGAAATAAACTCTCCTAACACCCCCTGAGTAGAAATGAAAAAGTTAGCTAAATTTAAACAGCCGAGGACCAAAATGAACTCCAAAACGGAGAACAGAAAACTAGAACAGGGTTCAAAACCAAACAGGTGAATAATCCATTATAGGAATGCCTACATGTCTTAGGGTGACCTGTTCTGTATCAAGAAAGAGGGAGAAAGGGAGGGGACAAGGGCTATCCCGGAGCTGATTGTGAATAAGTAATTCAGATGTTTGCTGTTCTTCCTTCTGAGAGTCTTAAAACCAGATGTACCCAGGATAGCCTTCACACAACAAATGCCTTCAGGTCAAGAATTGTCCTCTGACACAGGAGAGAAACCTACTGTATATACTCGTGGACAAGCCAAGACTTTTAGGTGCCAAAACTCACCCCCAAAATACAGTAATACTTTTAAAAAGTCCCCATACATCCTATATAGGCTTGTGTATATGCCCATCCATGGATAAGCAGACCCTCAAAGTTTTAACCAAAATACCACGAAAACTGCAGGTCAGCTTATTTGTGGGTGGCACATTTTTCACGGTATTCTGGCTCAAAATTCAAGGCTCGGCTTGTCCGCAATGAGATACAAGATATACTTCTGCAGAACAAAGACTGAGCAGCAAGTAAATCTGAATCTAGAGGTCGATTTCTGTGCGATCTGCACTATATGAGCAAGGACTGCTTAACAACCACGGAAGTAGCAGAAGGATGTTGCAGCCCCAGCCATAAATCCCGGGAAGGCGATGCAGTACGAGATGCCTACAAATCCCTTCCTTGATATTGCCTGGCTCCCAGCTCCACCTGACTTCATTTTTCTTTTTCATTCATTTTATCCTGACGTCTACAGAATCAACGTAGACAATGCTATCCGGAGGCTCACACCACATATGTATTTCTCTTGGCAAGAGCAAAAGAATAAAAAAAAAAACACTTGAAAGCAAGATTATGGCTTAATGTATGCAATTCAATGTAGCCCATCAGCTTGCTTTTGTTGCCTAATAAATCCTGGTTTGTCCAAACAGTATAAGCCATCATCTCCTCTGTGAAGAGAGGAGTAAAAATAGTTCCTACTGGGTTTTTTAAGCCTGAAATTATTGCTTACAGTGACATACACGAGGCACATTTCTTTATTTTTTTAATCTTCTTTATCTTTTATTTTTGAGTTGACCAAAATATATATTTAAAAAGGGATAAAAATCTAATAATAACAATATATTATAAATATATTATAAACACACACTTATTATAATCAAGTTAGTCTCTGCCTGATTTATTCTGCTACTGAATGAGCCAAAAGCACACCCAACATCACTGAAACTCGACAGAGATTTGCTGAGTTCTACAGATCAATCACCCCAGCACTGCTCCATTGTCTTTTTTAAATAGCAATTTCATTAAACACTACAATTCAAAAGATAAAAAAACGAATACAAACTAAAAAAAGAAAAGAATAAAAAGAAAACAGGCTCCATTGTTAAAGGAACAACTGTTTCTCCCCTGCAGGAAGAACAATTGTTGGTCCAGACGTTTGCCAGACTAATCAGCATGAAGGCGACTGCTCAAACAAGCAGCCAAGGTCATTTTCTCTGCGGTCTCATTTGCGCCTTTTTTGATTGTCCAGGCATGGCCCTCTGAACTACACAACACAATTTCCAATTTCATAGATCAAAAAGTGGGCTAGGAGGCAATTTAGATGGACAACCTATAACAAAGTAAAAAAACAAAACAAAACAGAATTTTTGCTCTGGATTTTTCTCCCTCATGCCTGGAGAAGATGCTGTGGTGAGTTTGGGACATGCTGTTGAAAGAGATAGTGGAGTCACGCCTAGCTAGAGCCTACTCCGTAAACATGCAAAGATATCTGGCCACTTCAGCTCATCCAGTGTAAGGGAAAGAAAGCCCTTCTCAATTTTGCTCTTCAAGATCTTTTTTATAGCTTTTGGTGCTGAACCTGAGATCTTGCACATAAACAACTGAAAACCATCCTCACTGATCTGTGGTAATGTTTTGGAGTACCACCTCTCCACCAAACTGCATGGCTGACTCGCTTATAGTGAATCTAAGATCTCCCTGAGGTTCATCCTGGATGAAGTAAGTCACAGGAGTAAGACACAGGAATCTTGCTCATGGCTGGACTTGATGGCAGGGGTTCGATCTATCATCACACAGCATCCCGAAAGTTAGAAAGGCACTGCCAAAAATATCCAAATGTGTATATGAATAACATTTGCAAATCCTAACTTACAGATACACCTATCGCTCAATCTGCTGCTGGGATGATCACTGTTGATGGGAACCCTTACATTAAAAAACAAATAAACAAACATTAAAACTGGACTTGAACTAAGTAGAAGAGAAAATTGATGCTTTGTATGTGTTTTGGACTTCAACCTCCTTTAGATCTGGTCAGCACGGCCAATGGCAAATAGGCTCAATTCACACAACACATTAAACCCAAGTTAATAAAACACAATGGTTGGTTTCACATAACCCAGGGTTCCCCATAGAGGTCAATATTGGGTCTAAGGGTCAATGGGTCTATCCATGGTTGATATTATTTCATTGATCCATGGGGGTCAATGAAAAATCTGAAACTTCATGAAGGGGTTGATGAGCTGAAGAGTTTGGGGACCCCTGACCCCCAAAGAAATAAATATATGATCTAATTAACAAGATGACCTGATTAATGCAATATGCTAAGATAATGGCAGGGTTCCCACAACACGTTGAACCATGGGCTTCCAACCTATTTTAGTCTAGTTTAACAGGTTAAGTAAACACAGCCAAAATGCCCCAAGTGTAATAGGTCAAAAGACTGTAACACATTTCAAGGGCCATTGCCAGAGTTCCTATTTTCTTCCCCACATACACACCCTTGCCTTTTCATAAGTCAGTGTTGTAGAAAATGCTATGCATGCAGAGGATGTATTCCCTCAACACACTTGAACAGATCAAATAAAGAATTAGTGGCCATATTTGCATATCATGCTAAGATTGATCATACCAATGTCCGAGGTCTCATACTAATTTACACTGTAATATGCAAAGTTAAAATTCAAGTTAAAACAGAGGTATTAAAACAGAGACCATATCAACCTTACTTTTGTGTTTTGCTTTTGGTGGGAATGGCCCATATTTTGTGTGAACTTAGCACGTTTGGCTAGTATATGGTTCAATACGTCGCAGGAATCCTACTCCAAGGGGAGAGTAGATCAAATGAAAAGTAAATAAACAAACTACCCGGGGAAAGGAAGAGTAGAGAGAAAAAAATTAAAAGAAAAAAGGCCCGTGCAACATTCGATTTCTCCTCCTTGCAAACCTAGAGATGCTAAGTCCAACTGAAAACAATCTGGGAGATTTCTCCAACCCCCCTTAAATATGTATATTTGACCCTGTATTCCCAGGCGTATGCTGTAGGTATATATACTTGCCAGAAACTATATTCCAAAAACAGGCAGGGCCAGGACTATTTACTATTTACTGAATTAACAACTACTGATTAAAGTTAGTGACCTGAAAAATAAAGTATGCCCTTAATAAATTTCACTGATTTCCGTCTCTGTATTCAAAGAATCCTTTCTCACACAGAGAGATTTACAAGCCCACAGACGCACATGTTCTCTCCTCCCTCCTTGCAAGGCAGCCATAAAAAAAAAAAAAGGATTAAAATGGGATGAGAGGCAGGGGCAACTGCCCAGGGAAGGGAAGACCAAAGTGCAAAATAGAGAGGGACCCCCCCCTTCAGCATTATCAATAAGGGTTAACGTTCACAAGGCAAGTAACAAGAATAAACCTCCCATTAATTTCCAAAAATATTTGTACCTCCCTCCGTACTATTGGTTATCATTGTGTATATTTTACCCAGTGTTTTAACGCTCATATTTATCACATGCTGTTTTACCTTACGATTCTACTGTGAAATGTTTTGAGATTTTTTTTTTTAATGGGAAGCAGCACAGAAGTATTTTAAAGAAATAAATAACTTTCAACAGCGTAGTGTATTCTCAGTGGATGTAAGACAGCATGTCTTACCATCAATTCACAAGTAATTATTTGGGGGAGGGAGAAACAGTTAATTTTTCTGCTCCCAAAATACATCCCTTCTCTATACATGTCAGATCACTATTCATACTATTTTTAACAAAACCAATTGTCTTTTACATGTTCAAGGGTGAGGGGTTTTGCCTTTCTTTCTCCTATTGCCATCAGTGAATTTCCAAAGCAAAATGGGAATGACAGAAAAAATCCTAATTTTTTTCCCATTTAAATGGGAAATCCCAAAAAGTTCCCATTTAAAAAATTAAGCCCTCAGAACTTCCCAAAATATCACTCATTCAACAAACACTAAAAGGAACTCACAAGGACACGATCCCCAAGTCTGAAGTCTTTATCCCCCTTTTTCACCGATCCACTGTCTGAGAGGTTGGATCCAGATTCATTTCCAGTCTTCATGGTGTTGTTGAGGACGCTCTCCCGCAGAGGAATCACACGAGTGGAGAGAGGTGGGGTGGAAGTCCCAGAGTGCAAGGACAAGTTCTGGGCTGTCAGAGACTCCACAGAATGGGCATCACTTCCTGAACCCTCCGTCGTGGGTTGGCGGGTCAACTTGGAAGGCCTCGTGAAGATCCCCTGGAGTGGCTGGCATTCAAAATAACGCACTCCGCCTACAGAACCATCATTCTTCCCAACTGGGTCATCTAGAACAACTCCTGCCCATTGTCCAGGGGCAAATTGGGTCTCTCCCAAATACTGGATTATACCTGGCTTCACTCCATTCACCCAAACACGTTCACCCATCACAAAGTCCCCCAGGAAATCATCACCCACTTCAGCAATTTTTGACCCTGGCAGCTTCTCAGAGGCACCTGTGGAAGATGTGGAACCCTGTTTGTGGAGAGGTGATCCTGTAAGAAGAATCAAAGAATGGAGAAAGAACATCTGTCACAACAATAAGCAAAGTCTTCACAACAGACAAGATCCTGGACTTTGAACATAACTGGATTTTCTCTAATACAAGCAGCAGAAGAGAAACAAATAATCCTTCCCAAGAACTAAAGGCTAATCACAAAAAGATCTTTGCTTATATACACTAATCCCTGCTGGTAATTTCATGACCAGATGCTGGAAGAGTTGTTGGGGATTCCATGCAGGAGAATGAGCAAGAAGGTCCCTTTCCTGAAGTGGGTAAACACATTATCATAAAATCAATTAGTTTAATTACTTTACTTCAATGGACCCTCTGGAGAAATTAAGCCCAGCTTGAAGCATCTGATTGGCCACCTGAGAAAAAGAATGCTACACTAGATAACTCTATAGTTTCATAAATACAGCTTCTCTTATGTTCTAACAGATCCCTGTCAAACTGGTTGGACCTATTGGAAATTAGCTTAGCAACATCTGAATAGACCCACCCCTATTCTATCATCTGCTAAGGAAAGCTCGTTTAGATGAACTGGAAGTTCAGAATAACGTTCGTGTCTTAGTAACCAGATGCTGAATTGTGTGATAACCTGCTGATCTCTGAGCAGGTTCACAGAATGTGCACAGATAGCCCTGTTTTTAGAAAAGGAGATTGTTCATTTCACAGAGCCTTCTGAACATTTAACGAACTTTGTGCTTCATCGCTAACTACTACCAAACCCATATAGTTTTCTCCAATTCTACAAAGGAGCTTAAAGGAGTCTGACATTTCCCCTATTTAAAAACTGCCAGCAAAAGTGCCTGGAGAGCAACAGCAATGTGTGTTACGCTCCAATTGGTACCAACTGTCTTTAATGAAGTTTCAGTTCATCAAGTATCAGAGAAGTGATTTAAAAGCACAGCTGCCCTTTTAAGTTTCAGTTTGCAGCTGGCAGCATGTGGTCAGAAAACACTTCGCCATCTGAAAAGATGAGAGACTATGGCAGCCTGAATGCAGTTTGACTGTTCACTCTTCTGTTTCCCACTGGTTGCAGAATTTGATACTTAATCTAGTTACAGGCCTGTGCCAAGACAGCCAGCTGTCAGGAGGAGCAGAAATGCAAGAATGCTGCCCTGTTTCCATGGTTATCTGGTAAAAGGAGGGGAACAACACACATGGAGAGAAGCACAACAAACATTGGGGGTTTTTTTCTCAAACACTTCCAGACGGGGCTTATGGAAAACCAAAGGGTACGTGAGCCCTCTGAGGATGGAACTCTACTTCATTTATAGACACCCATTTTGCAAGTAGTAGAGCCTTCCAAATGTCTCTGAATGCTCAGAGTTATAATCCCGCCACACCTGAGGACACCAGGTTGAGGAAAGCTGATAAGAGGGTTGGACATCTGATCTCCAACATCAATGATAATTATGATCATGATGATGATGGTGTCATTTCTCCAGAAAGCTTAAAGCAACATAACTGGTTATCACATGATATTTTACTTTTGGAACAACCCTATGAGTTAGCCAAAGCTAGGAGTGAGAGAGAAAGGGGGAAGAGAGATTGGCCCAACATTTTGTAGGGAGATTGAAGGTTGAATGGGAATCTAGCTAGAAGCAGCAGCTAGAAGATCCCTTGCAAATTGGCACTGTGTTTGGGCAAATGGACAAATAACCTAAGCTTCAATGTACAATGTACCTTCTTTGGTTGCTATAAATGACTGCATCTAAAATGTCCTTAGTAAAAATCAAAATTAGTATGGGGTTGGTGCAGCTATCCTCCAAGGAAAGACTATGGCTATAGCATTTGATGTTTTTTAGCTTACAGCAGAGGTAGGCAAGAGGAAAGCAGAGGGAAGGCATAAAATCATGAACTGGGTGAAAAATATGAACAGAGAGAAATGTTCCCTTACTGTCACCATGTTAGAATTCAGCGTTGTCCATTAAAATGAAATATGAGGAGATAAAAAGCCCGCAAAAGGAAATATTTCTTTATACAAGGCATAGTTCAGATGGGGAATTCATGGTTATGAGATATGATGGTGGTTGTTATTATTATCATTGTTGGTCACACAGTCAGCCAGTTGTTTAGACTGGATTTGGCACTTTTATCCCCCTATCAAGTCCTTCCCAAGGACCTGGGATAGGCAGGTGTTCTTGTATGATGGGGTTAAAGGTATCATCATAGGATGTGAGCTGTTCCAAGTAAAGCTGCCTTTTGCAATTGACTGATGGTGATTCTGTCAGTGCTGATGGTGTTCAAGTGGTGCTCCAGATGTTTTGGGATTGTTATTATTATTATTATTATTACTATTACTATTACTATTATTATTATTATTATTTCTTAAATGTATATAGCTGCCCATCTCACTTGCATGTGACTTTGGGCAACGTACATAGTTAAAACACAAGTAAAATCATAATCTTCTACCATTAAAAACAATTATAATATTATAAGCTACATTTAAAATACAATAATAAAAAGACAGAGGAGAGTGCAGTCTAGCTATATACAATATAACCATTAATGGGCTCCATGCTGCCCTGGGATCCACAAGCCTGATGGCACATCCTAATTTTGAAAGCCTTCCAGAAGGCCAGAAGGGTTGGGCCCAATCTCATCTTTTTAAATGGTTTAAACCATTTAGAAGTGGTTACCCATTTAAAAGTGGAAAGTAGACAAATTCATAGAGGATCAGGATAGCCACTCATCATGATAGCTGTTTCTACCTCCAGTGTAAAAAGTTGCTTATCTTAAATCTGGAACATCAGTGGAAAAGAGCTGTTCACCATGTCTGTGAACTTTCCAAATGCCTCTGGCTGGCCACAGTGTGATGAAGAATGCTGGATTAGATGGCCTCATCTAGCAACTAGTTTCTTCTCATGTTCTTAATACTGTTTGTTGGTTTATGTTCCTCATCCATTAAGTAGCAACTTAGTCGGGGAAACTTTGTAATGAACAATGGCATATTCTTCTATCTTCTATTACTCCTGCATCAGGTTCCTTTCCTCCTTTCCCTTCACTCCATGTCAGATTTTGAATTATAACCTAACTATGGTCTGAATAAGCAGGAATATGCAAATTAAAAGAAAAAGTGGGAGAAACTACTCCTAACAGCAGACTTGTGGTGAGGGCTACTGTAATTGCAGCCAGAATGGGGACACTGAAAAATTGGAAGGACATATCTACCTCCTTGGGAAAATCTGGACATTTGTGGAAGGTATAAGGGAAGAAGAAGCAGAAGGAGAAGGAGAGGGAGAAGGAGAAGGAGGAGGAGGAGAAGGAGAAGGAGAAGGAGGAGGAGGAGAAGGAGAAGGAGAAGGAG